CAGGGGCGGCCGCCTCCTCCGCGCGGCGCTCGGGGGCCTCGTCCTCCTGCAGGAAGAACTGAGGCGAGGGGTGAGGAGCCCCCGCTGGGGTCCCAACCTGCCCGTGCAAACCCACCCCCCAACGAGCCCCTCCATGCAAACCAGCGCCCAGGAGCCAGCCCTGCAGTGATGCATGCCCCCCTGCATGCACCCCTGGACCCACCGGCGCACCCACACATTGCATCCACGCCCATAGTCCTGCACACACCAATGCACCCAACAATGCACCCACGCATTCACCCCTGCACTGGTGCACACACTCATCAATGTGCCCCCAATGCACCCCTGAATCCACCAATGCACCCACACATACGGCCACACATGCACCTCACCAATGCACCCATGCACGCAGCACCCCAGCCCAGCTGTACCTGCACGGCCTCCGCAGGGCTGCCCTGCAGGAGATCCTCCGCTGAGCGCTCGGTCTCGGTGTCGCCCGCCTCGTCCTCATCCTCCTCCGCCTCCTCGATGGTGGGGGTCTCGCCGGGGGCGGCCGCTCGGTGCCGCTTCTTCTTGCCCTTCTTCTGCGCGCCCTTCTTGCGGCGGGCGTCGGGGGGCAGGTGGGTGGACAGCGGGTGGTGGATGTGGTGAGACGACTGGCGATGGTCTGCGGGGACGCGGGCACGTTGGCCCGGGGCCCGTCCCCGCGCCCGCCACGGCCCGGCCCCACTCACACTCGAAGTCCTCCTCGCCGTAGCTGCGGCCGGCGTCCTCGACGCTGCGCGGGTGCGCGTCGCTCAGGATCTCCTCGAAGCGCTCCACGCCCAGCGCCTTGTTCAGGTCCTTCTCGTCCTCCTCGGCGAAGCGGGGCGAGCCGGGGCCCGGCGCCTCCTGCTCGGGCTGCGGGCAGCGCGGGCACTCAGTGGCACCGCCACGCGGCACAGGGACCCTCGGCCACCCCCCGGGCACCGTCTGCGCCGGCGAGACCCTCTGCACCGCAGCCCAGAGCTGCCCTGTCCCCCCGCACGTCCTGCACTTGCTACCTCCCTGTCCCCACTGCCACGCGCCCTGGCAAACACCAGAGCTGTCACCTCGCTGTCCCCAGCGCCACGCTCCCCTGCGCACCCCAGATCTGACATCGCCAGTGCCAGTGCCCCCCGCGTGTCCTGTCCCTGTCACCTTGCTGTACCCAGTGCCGTGCTCCCCAACACCAGAGCTGTCACTCCACTGTCCCAGGGCCACACTCCCTTCACCACACCACGCACCTGACACCCTTGCCGTGCCCGTGCACCCCAATCCTGTCACCCTGGTGTCCCCAGCATTGCACTTGACCTGTCACCATGGTGCCCTCGCTGCTGCACCCCCACGATGCACCCAAGGCCACTGGGGCCAGGGTGCCAGCTGGGTGCAGCAGCATGGGCAGGTGCATGGGTGCATGGGTGCGGGTGCAGGATTCAGCTGCTGGGTGCAGGTCTGGGTGCATGGGTATGGGTGCAGGATGCGGGTGCTGGGTGTGGGTCTAGGTGCGTGGTGTGGGTGCAGGACTCGGGTGCTGACTCCAGGTGCATGGGTGCATGAGTGCGGGTGCAGGATTCGGGTGCTGGCTGCGGGGTCTGGGTGCATGGGTGCGGGTCTGGGTGCATGGGTGCAGGTGCAGGGTTCGGCTGGTGAGTGGGAGTCTGGGTGCATAGGTGCAGGTGCAGGATTTGGGTGCTGGGTGTGGGTCTGGGTGCATGGGTGCAGGTGCAGGATTTGGGTGCTGGGTGTGGGTCTGGGTGCATGGGT